ATCATCCATCCATCCATCCATGCATCATCCATCCATCATCCATCCATCATCCATCCATCCATCCATGCATCATCCATCCATCATCCATCCATCATCCATCCATCCATCCATGCATCATCCATCCATCATCCATCCATCATCCATCCATCCATCCATGCATCATCCATCCATCATCCATCCATCATCCATCCATCCATCCATGCATCATCCATCCATCATCCATCCATCATCCATCCATCCATCCATGCATCATCCATCCATCATCCATCCATCATCCATCCATCCATCCATGCATCATCCATCCATCATCCATCCATCATCCATCCATCCATCCATGCATCATCCATCCATCATCCATCCATCATCCATCCATCCATCCATGCATCATCCATCCATCATCCATCCATCATCCATCCATCCATCCATGCATCATCCATCCATCATCCATCCATCATCCATCCATCCATCCATGCATCATCCATCCATCATCCATCCATCATCCATCCATCCATCCATGCATCATCCATCCATCATCCATCCATCATCCATCCATCCATCCATGCATCATCCATCCATCATCCATCCATCATCCATCCATCCATCCATGCATCATCCATCCATCATCCATCCATCATCCATCCATCCATCCATGCATCATCCATCCATCATCCATCCATCATCCATCCATCCATCCATGCATCATCCATCCATCATCCATCCATCATCCATCCATCCATCCATGCATCATCCATCCATCATCCATCCATCATCCATCCATCCATCCATGCATCATCCATCCATCATCCATCCATCATCCATCCATCCATCCATGCATCATCCATCCATCATCCATCCATCATCCATCCATCCATCCATGCATCATCCATCCATCATCCATCCATCATCCATCCATCCATCCATGCATCATCCATCCATCATCCATCCATCATCCATCCATCCATCCATGCATCATCCATCCATCATCCATCCATCATCCATCCATCCATCCATGCATCATCCATCCATCATCCATCCATCATCCATCCATCCATCCATGCATCATCCATCCATCATCCATCCATCATCCATCCATCCATCCATGCATCATCCATCCATCATCCATCCATCATCCATCCATCCATCCATGCATCATCCATCCATCATCCATCCATCATCCATCCATCCATCCATGCATCATCCATCCATCATCCATCCATCATCCATCCATCCATCCATGCATCATCCATCCATCATCCATCCATCATCCATCCATCCATCCATGCATCATCCATCCATCATCCATCCATCATCCATCCATCCATCCATGCATCATCCATCCATCATCCATCCATCATCCATCCATCCATCCATGCATCATCCATCCATCATCCATCCATCATCCATCCATCCATCCATGCATCATCCATCCATCATCCATCCATCATCCATCCATCCATCCATGCATCATCCATCCATCATCCATCCATCATCCATCCATCCATCCATGCATCATCCATCCATCATCCATCCATCATCCATCCATCCATCCATGCATCATCCATCCATCATCCATCCATCATCCATCCATCCATCCATGCATCATCCATCCATCATCCATCCATCATCCATCCATCCATCCATGCATCATCCATCCATCATCCATCCATCATCCATCCATCCATCCATGCATCATCCATCCATCATCCATCCATCATCCATCCATCCATCCATGCATCATCCATCCATCATCCATCCATCATCCATCCATCCATCCATGCATCATCCATCCATCATCCATCCATCATCCATCCATCCATCCATGCATCATCCATCCATCATCCATCCATCATCCATCCATCCATCCATGCATCATCCATCCATCATCCATCCATCATCCATCCATCCATCCATGCATCATCCATCCATCATCCATCCATCATCCATCCATCCATCCATGCATCATCCATCCATCATCCATCCATCATCCATCCATCCATCCATGCATCATCCATCCATCATCCATCCATCATCCATCCATCCATCCATGCATCATCCATCCATCATCCATCCATCATCCATCCATCCATCCATGCATCATCCATCCATCATCCATCCATCATCCATCCATCCATCCATGCATCATCCATCCATCATCCATCCATCATCCATCCATCCATCCATGCATCATCCATCCATCATCCATCCATCATCCATCCATCCATCCATGCATCATCCATCCATCATCCATCCATCATCCATCCATCCATCCATCCATCCATCCTTCATCCATCCATCCATCCATCCATCATCCATCCATCCATCCCCGTGTCCATCTCTCTCTCCCCAGGTCGTGTCCCAGATCGACCGCCTGACGTCGGACTTCGCTCTGGACCTGGAGCCGGACGCGTGGACTCCGGCCACGGCCAGCAGCACGTCCAGCAGTGACCGGGGCGGGGCCAGCCTCGAGCTGGGCCCGCTGGACTTCGCCGCCTCCGACGTCCTCTCGGACAGCTGGGAATTCTGCTCCTTCCTGGACGCCTCCACGCCGTCGGACCCCGGCGATTGCCCGGAGCCTCCGCGGCCGCCGCCGGCCCGGCTGATGAACGGGGGGGTCCCCGTGGCCAACGGCCCCCGCGGGGGCGGGGGGACCCCGGATTCCTCCAGCGAGGAATGTTTCGGGAGCGCCGCCGTTCCCAAAATCCCGGCCCAGCGTCCGGCAGGGACGCGGGAGCGCGTCCGCTTCAGCGACAAGGTGCTCTACCACGCCCTGTGCTGCGACGACGACGGCGATGCCGACGACGGCACCGACATTCCTGACGATCCCGCCAGGAAGGGGCCTCGGGAGCAGCTCCCGAGGAACCCGGGCGTGATCCCGATCCGCAGGGCCATGAGGAACAGCAGCACCCAGACCGTGGCCGATAAGAGCACGCAGACGTTGCTGCCCTACGTCCCGGCCAGGCAGAGAATTCCCAACAAAAACTGAGCCCGGATCCGGGTTTGGAAAGGGTTTGGGGGAGGGGGAAAATCCCTGGGAAAGGGGCTGGAAAAGATCTATATATAAATATAAATATATATTTCAATAAATCCGTACTCCTGATAAACGCCGAGTGAGAAGGTGGCAACAAATATCCCGATGTCCTGGTATCCCAATATCCCAACAGTTTTCCAGGCTCTGGGAATTTTAAATGATTTTTTTTAATGGATAGAAGGAGCTCAATAATTCATCCGGCACGGAGAAATCCCGATCACGACGTGGATGTGCCAGAAGGGCCTGGCCAGCTCTTCTGCAGGGTGGGAATGGCACAGGGATGTGGGAATGCTGGAGGGGGTGGCGGGATAAGGGAGGGGGAATTTCCCTTCCCTGGGATGCGTTATCCCTGTTTGGTTTAGGGAAAATCAGTGGGATCAGACTTTTCTGGCTGAGGGGACTCAGGATGGAAATAGGATGGCTCCTGGATATCCCTGGAATGCCACTGGAATATCATTCCCAACTCCAAGAGGAACAATGAGGGGATCACCAAAACCTCCAGGAACGAGGAGACAGCCTTGGGATCTCCTCCCCCCTCAATTCCCAACTTTTCCAGCGGAAATATCCCTGACCCCGAGTCCTGCATCCATCTGAAAATAGTCCCACTTTTCCTGAGCTCCATAATCTCCCCATTCCATGTCCAAATGCTGACATTTCAGGGAAAGAAATCAGGTCCTGCTTGGAAACAAAGGAATCTGGAGCTCCAAATCCACGCTGGGCGTTTTTCCAAGGTATCCACAGGGGTCAGAGCAGCAGCTGCTCCCAGGACAATGTTCCTGTGTCCTTCCCGCTGGCGCCTCATCCCGCAGGGACACATTTCCACCCCGGAGCATTCCTGGCATGAGGCTTTTCCAAGGTTTTTCTGAGCCAAAAATGCCACCTTGGCTCCTGATGGTCAATCCAGGCGGGAGGAGCTGCATTCCCGAGTAGCTTTGGGGTGGGAAAGCAATGCAGAAATCCAGGGGGAAGAGTTGGGACCATGGGATTTTGGGAATATTCTCCCATTGGGATGCAGAGCTTGGGGAATGACAACCAAAAACCACCCCCCACAGGGATTCAGGAATGGGCCTGGGAAGGATCCCCCAGGAATTCCCACCCCATGGGGAAGGATCTCCCAGGAATTTCCATCCCATCTCATAGGCGGGATTTAATTTAGGAGCCAGCCCGGGCATCCCCGGGGGATTTTCCACCAGGCCCCGGGAATCCCAATCCTTACCCCATTCCTGGCCAAACCCCACGGAGCACACGGAGCCGGGAGGGATCGACCGACACGGTCCCAAATTTATTTGTCAAGGCACGAGAAACCTCCAGATCCCGGATTTCAAAGCGCTCCGGAGCGGGACAGGGATGCTCCAGCAGCACTCGGGGTGTCCCCATGTCCCCAACGGCGCTGGGGGGACCCCGGGACGCGCCCCAATCCCACAGGAATGACGAGCTCAGGATGTCCCCAGAGATGTCCCCAGGGCAGGGCCTCACCCGGCCAGCGGGTGCCCCCTTCCCAAAACGCCCCGGGATCGTTCCGGGGGGACAAACCCCGCCGGGATCCAGCGTGTAAGGCCAGGACGAGTCCGGAGGGACTCGGGGAGCGGGAAAAGGAGCGGGGAAGGGGCTCCGGAGCCCCCCGCGCTCCGGCGCCATTCCCGGGAGAGCAGGGAACGGGAATGTCCCCCGGGGAGGGACACGGGGACACGCGGAGGGACACGGGGACACCGGGCAGACCCTCAGCCCGCCCTTCCCGGGAAGGACGGGAGGCGGGAGCGGGAATGGGATGGGGGAGGCGGCAGCTCCGGTCCTCCCTGCGGGGCGCCCCGGGGGTGTCACTGTCCCGGGGGTGTCACCGACCCGGGGGTGTCACTGTCCCGGGGGTGTCACCGACCCGGGGGTGTCACTGTCCCGGGGGTGTCACTGTCCCGGGGGTGTCACTGTCCCGGGGTGTCACCGCCCCGGGGGTGTCACTGTCCCGGGGGTGTCACTGTCCCGGGGGTGTCACCGCCCCGGGGGTGTCACTGTCCCGGGGGTGTCACTGTCCCGGGGGTGTCACTGTCCCAGGGGTGTCACTGTCCCGGGGGTGTCACTGTCCCGGGGGTGTCACTGTCCCGGGGGTGTCACCGACCCGGGGGTGTCACTGTCCCAGGGGTGTCACCTCCCCGGGGATGTCGCCGCTCGCTCGGGACGCGCGGGCGGGGCCGGGCTCCGGGGCTGCCGTCAATCGATCTCCTGCTCCCGAGCTGGGCGGGGAAAGGAATCGAGAGGGAAAACATCGAAAGGGAACTGCAGGGATGGGATTGATAGATCAATAGATTCGGGAATTTATAAATTAATCGATTAATGAAGGAATAAATTAATTATTAATGAATGAATGAATCAATTCATTCATGAAGTAATGGATTTGTAAATTAATACATTAATAAATGAACAAATAAATGAATTAATGAATTGATGAATGAATAAATTGATCAATTATGACGTAAGTAAATTAATGGATTAATGGATTATTGGGGCTGCAGCTTGGGAAACTCCAGATCCTTTTCCAGGCTGGGACAACTCTGGATCCTTTTCCACACTTGGAAAAACTCTGCCGGGAATTTATAAATTAATAGATTAATGAAGGAATAAATTAATTATTAACGAATTAATGAATCCATTCATGAAGTAATGGATTTGTAAATTAATACATTAATAAATGAACAAATAAATGAATTAATGAATTGATGAATGAATACATTGATCAATTATGACGTAAGTAAATTAATGGATTAATGGATTATTGGGGCTGCAGCTTGGGAAACTCCAGATCCTTTTCCAGGCTGGGACAACTCTGGATCCTTTTCCACACTTGGAAAAACTCTGGATCCTTATCTGGGCTGGGAAAAACTCTGGATCCTTTTCCAGGCTGGAAAAAACTCTGGATCCTTTTCCAGGCTGGAAAAAACTCTGGATCCTTTTCCAGGCTGGGATCCTTTTCCAGGCCAGGAAAACTCCGGATCCTTTTCCACGGTGGGAAAACTCTGAATCCTTTTCCAACCCCAGCAATTCCCATCATCCCAGAAAATCCACGGCAACTCCAAAAAAAACCCCAAATTCCTTCCAGGGCTGGGTGTGGGGAGGCTTTTCCCAATCCCGAAGCAGTGGGGAAAAGGAGGGATGAGGGATGCAGGAGTTGCTGGATGCTGGGAAAAAATAGGAAAAACTGGGAAAAAACCAGGAAAAACTAGGAAAAAGGGAAATGGAAAACCATAATCTGGGAAAAGCTGATGGAAAACCCATGGGAAAATGAAATAGGGGAGGGAAAATCCCCCTGGAAACCTGACAAATGTTTCCCACGCGGATTTTAGGGAGAAAAGGGGAATTATCCCGGTTTTTCCAGAAACATCCACTCACCCTCTCTGCTCTCCGTGTTTTCCAGCAGCTGCAGAGCTGGGAAAAGGGGAAAACATCCCGTGGTCAATCCCATCCCATTCCCAAAGGAAACGGCTCCAAAAATCCCTTTTTGGGGGGATAAACCCCAAAAGTGACCCTGTTCCCAATTTCCCTGCAGAATTCCAAGGGTTTGGTCCTGTGCCAGTGGATAAAAGGAATCCCCAGGAATAGCGTGGAGCTGCGTGGGAAATGCGGGATGTGGAATTGGGAGGTTTTAGTTGGGAAATTTGCTATTTTATTAGGGAATTTGGAGGTTTTCTTAAGGAATTCTGTCATTTTACTAAGAAATTGAGAGATTTTATCTGGGAATTCTGTCATTTTATTAAGGAATTAGGAGGTTTTATTTGGGAATTTTGCCATTTTATTAAGGAATTGGGAGATTTTATCTGGAAATTCTGCCGTTTTATTAAGGAATTGGGAGGTTTTAGGTGGGAAATTTGCTATTTTATTAGGGAATTTGGAGGTTTTCTTAAGGAATTCTGTCATTTTACTAAGAAATCGAGAGATTTTATCTGGGAATTCTGTCATTTTATTAAGGAATTGGGAGGTTTTAGGTGGGAAATTTGCTATTTTATTAGGGAATTTGGAGGTTTTCTTAAGGAATTCTGTCATTTTACTAAGAAATCGAGAGATTTTATCTGGGAATTCTGTCATTTTATTAAGGAATTAGGAGGTTTTATTTGGGAATTTTGCCATTTTATTAAGGAATTGGGAGATTTTATCTGGAAATTCTGCCGTTTTATTAAGGAATTGGGAGGTTTTAGTTGGGAAATTTGCTATTTTATTAGGGAATTTGGAGGTTTTCTTAAGGAATCCTGTCAATTTATTAAGAAATTGGGAGATTTTATCTGGGAATTCTGCCATTTTATTAAGGAATAGGGAGGTTTTATTTGGGAATCAGGAGGTTTTATTTGGGAATTGGGAGATTTTATTAAGGAATTCTGTAATTTTATTCAGGAATTGGGAGGTTTTATTACAGAATTGGGAGATTTTACTAATGAATTGGGAGGTTTATTAAGGAATTCTGTCATTTTATTAAGGAATTGGGAGACTTTTTTAATGGAATTCTGTCATTTAATTGAAGAATGGGGAGGTTTTATTTGGAATTGGGAGATTTTATTAAGAAATTCTGTCATTTTATTAAAGAAATACGAAGGTTTTATCCAGGAATTCTGTCATTTTATTAAGGAATGGGGAGGTCTATTAAGGAATGGGGAGGTTTTATTAAGGAATCCTGTCATTTTATTAAGGAACTTGGAGATTTTATTTGGGAATTGGGAGATTTTGTTGAGGAAATGGGGAGGTTTATTAAGGAATGGGGAGGTTTTATTTGGGAATTCTCTCATTTTATTAAAGAAATGGGAGGTGTTATTCAGGAATTCTGTCATTTTCTTAAGGAATTGGGAGATTTGTTGAGGAATGGGGAGGTTTTTTAATGGAATTTTGTCATTTAATTGAAGAATGGGGATGATTTATTCGGGAATTGGGAGATTTTATTGAGGAATGTGGAGGTTTATTAAGGAATGGGAAGGTTTGATTTGGGAATTTGAACATTTTATTGAGGAATGTGGAGGTTTATTAAGGAATGGGGAGGTTTCATTTGGGAATGGGGACGTTTGTTAAGGAATGGGAAGGTTTTATTAAGGAATGTGGAAATTTATTAAGAAATGAGGAGGTTTTATTAAGGAATTGAGAGGTTTATTAAGGAATTGGGTGCTTTTATTATGGAATTTGGGTGGTTTTACTCAGGAATTTGAAGATTTTATTAAGGGGCTGGGAGGTTTATTAAGGAATTAGGAGGTTTGATTTGGGAATTGGAAGATTTTATTGAGGAATTGGGAGGTTTGATTTGGGAATTGGAAGATTTTATTGAGGAATGGGCAGGTTTTATTGGGGAATTTGAACATTTTAGTGATGAATGGGGAGGTTTATTAATGAATGGGGAGGAATGGGGAGGTTTTTTAATGGAATTTTGTCATTTAATTGAAGAATGGGGATGATTTATTCGGGAATTGGGAGATTTTATTGAGGAATGTGGAGGTTTATTAAGGAATGGGAAGGTTTGATTTGGGAATTTGAACATTTTATTGAGGAATGTGGAGGTTTATTAAGGAATGGGGAGGTTTCATTTGGGAATGGGGACGTTTGTTAAGGAATGGGAAGGTTTTATTAAGGAATGTGGAAATTTATTAAGAAATGAGGAGGTTTTATTAAGGAATTGAGAGGTTTATTAAGGAATTGGGTGCTTTTATTATGGAATTTGGGTGGTTTTACTCAGGAATTTGAAGATTTTATTAAGGGGCTGGGAGGTTTATTAAGGAATTAGGAGGTTTGATTTGGGAATTGGAAGATTTTATTGAGGAATTGGGAGGTTTGATTTGGGAATTGGAAGATTTTATTGAGGAATGGGGAGGTTTCATTTGGGAATTTGAACATTTTATTGAGGAATGGGGAGGTTTATTAAAGAATGGGGAGGTTTGATTTGGGAATGGGGAAGTTTATTACGGAATGGGAAGGTTTTATTAAGGAATGTGGAGATTATTAAGAAATGAGGAGGTTTTATTAAGGAATTGAGAGGTTTATTAAGGAATTGGGTGCTTTTGGAATTTATTATGGAATTTGGGTGGTTTTACTCAGGAATTTGAAGATTTGATTAAGGGGTTGGGAGGTTTATTATGGAATTGGGAGGTTTGATTTGGGAATTGGAATATTTTATTAAGGAATGGGGGGTTTCATTTGGGAATGGGGAGGTTTATTAAGGAATGGGAAGGTTTGACTTGGGAATTTGGAAGTTTTATAGGAATTGGGACGTTTGATTTATTTGGGAATTGGAAGATTTTATTAAGGAATGGGGAGGTTTATTAAGGAATGGGAAGGTTTGACTTGGGAATTTGGAAGTTTTATTGAGGAATGGGGAGGTTTATTAAGGAATGGGGGGTTTGATTTGGGAATGGGGAGGTTTATCCAGGATCAGGGCTGTCAGAAATCGGGAATAGGGAAGGGGCCAAGCGCCCAGCACGGGGCACCCACCTGTCTTGGGCTCCTCCCCCTCCTCATCCCGCTCCTCTGGCCCTGGAAAACAAGGATCCCGAGGTGGGAACCCCATTCCTGGGGTTCTGGGGGTGCCCCTGGCAGCATCCTGGCCTTCCCAGGGCGCCACATTCCCGAAAATCCCAGCGGGAAAGGCCCCAGCTCCGAGGGACGCCGTGGGTTTGGCACAGCTGAAATCTGCCTGGAGAGGGATCCCTGGAAACCCCAAAAGTTGGGAAACCCCAAACTGGGAGGCTCTTCCCTCCCTCCAGCGCCCACCAGGAGCCCGGGAGGTGCCCACCCCCTGCTGCTGCTCCTGGGAGCAAAATCCATGGAAAAATCCACGGAGAAAAGGTCATTCCTGAGGGAAATTGGGAGCAAAATCCATGGAAAAAATCCCATGGAAAAAAGGGAATTCCCAATAGAAACTGGAAGTAAAATCCATGGAAAAATCCATGGAAAGTGATAATTCATCCATGGAAAGCGATAATTCCTGAGGGAAAGGGGGAGCAAAATCCATGGGAAAAATCCATGGAAAAAAAGTAATCCCCAATAGAAACTGGGGGCAAAATCCATGGAATAAAGGCAATTCCCGAGGGAATCTGGGAACAAAATCCATGGAAAAAACCCGTGGAAAAAAGGTCATTCCTGAGAGAAACCGGGAGCAAAATCCACGGAAAAAAAGGTGATTCCCAAGGGTGGCAAAGCTGCTTTGGGACCTTTTCCAGGAACAAATCTCCCTGTGGTGCAAACAGCACCCCATAAAAATGTGGAATATTACCCAAAATGGGAAAGGAGCCCGGAGGTGCCGGGAAAGGGGACACGGGTGGCAGTGCCACTCCCCGGTGCCACCCCGGTGTGTCCCTCTGGTGCCACCCCCGTGTGTCCCCTCCCGGACTCACCCGCGCGCTCCTCGTCCTCCCGGCAGCTCTCGCGGATCTTCTGGTGGCACACGAAGGCCAGGACGCCCAGCAGGGCCACCACGCACACGGCCAGGGCCACTGTCACCCACAGGGCCACCGCCGGGAATGCCAGGGGCTGGCCTTGCGGGAGGGACGGAAAAGGGCCCGGATCAGCACCCGGGAATGCCGGCGTGACCCCACTGCCAGGGTGAGCCCACTGCCAGGGTGATCCCATATCCAGGGTGATCCCATATCCAGGGTGACCCCACTGCCAGGGTGAGCCCACAGCTGGGGTGACCCCATATCCAGGGTGATCCCATATCCAGGGTGACCCCACTGCCAGGGTGAGCCCACAGCTGGGGTGACCCCATATCCAGGGTAACCCCATATCCAGGGTGACCCCATATCCAGGGTGACCCCACAGCTGGGGTGACCCCATATTCAGGGTGATTCCACATCCAGGGTGATCCCGTTGCCAGGGTGATCCCACATCTGGGGTGACTCCATGGCCAGGGTGATCCCACATCCGGGGTGATCCCATATCTGGGGCGATCCCACGTCTGGGGTAACCCCATATTCAGGATGATGCCATAACTGGGGTGACCTCATATCCAGGATGATCCCACATCCAGGGTGACTCCATGGCCAGGGTGATCCCACATTTGGGGTGATCCCAGATCCAGGGTGACCCCACAACCAGGATGATCCCAACACCCAGGATGATGCAACACTGAGGGTAACCCCACATCCAGGATCATTCAAGGTGATCCCACATCCAGGGTGACCCCATATCCAAGATGATACCACATCTGGGGTGATCCCATATCCAGGGTGATCCCATTGCTGGGGTGACCCCACACCCAGGGTGACCCAGCACTCAGGATGATCCCACATTCAGGGTGTCCCCACAGCCAGGATGCCCCAACACCCAGGATGATCCAACATTGAGGGTAACCCCAAATCCAGAATGATTCGAGGTGATTCCACATCCAGGGTGATCCCATATCCAGGGTGATCCCACAGCCAGGGTGATCCCATATCCAGGGTGATCCCATATCCAGGGTGATCCCACATGTGGGGTGATCCCATGTCCAATGTGATCCTACATCTGGGGTGACCCCATATCTGGGATGATCCCATATCTGGGGTGATCCCACAGCCAGGATGCTCCAGCATGACCCCACCCACAATGTGCCAGGATGATCCCACACCCAGGGTGACCCCATATCCAGAGTGACCCCATATCCAGGGTGATCCCACATCCAGGGTGACCCCACATCCAGGGTGACCCCATATCCAGGATGATCCCACACCCAGGGTGACCCCACATCCAGGATGATCCCACATCCAGGATGATCCCATATCCAGGATGATCCCACACCCAGGCTGGATCCCAACCCAGCCCAGAACAGCTTCCTGGGGCATGGAATGTCTCCGTGGAAGTGCTAAAGGCCACCCGCTGCCACCCCCTGCCACGGGCAGTGCCACCTCCGCTGTCCCAGGCTGCCCCAAGCCCCGCCCGGGGCACTGCCAGGATCCAGGGACAGCCCCGGCTGCTCTGGGAGTGCCAGCCCAGCCGGGAACCCCTCCCCAACATCCCCCTCTGGGTGGCACTGCCACCTCCCCCGTGCTTCCTGGGGGCCACCAAGGTCACCTTCCCCAACCCTTCTGGGTACCACCATGGTCACCTTCCCCAGCCATCCCGGGTGCCACCACAGTCACCTACCTCCCCCAGCACTTCCTGGGTGGCCTTGGGTGCCAGTGCCACCAAGGTCACCTTCCCCAACCCTTCTGGGTACCACCATGGTCACCTTCCCCAGCCATCCCGGGTGCCACCACAGTCACCTCCCCCAGCGCTTCCTGGGTGGCCTTGGGTGGCAGTGCCACCTCCCCCAGCCCCTCCTGGCTGGCTTTGGGTGCCAGTGCCACCAAGGTCACCTCCCCCAGACCCACCTCAGATGGCTTTGCGTCCCAATGCCACCACGGTCACCTCCCCCCATGCCTCCTGGCTGGCTTTGGGTGCCAGAGCCACCACAGTCACCTCCCCCAATGCCGTTTGAGTGGCTCTGGGTGCCAGTGTCACCTCCCCCAACCATCCTGAGTGCCACCAGTCACCTCCAATAATGCCTCCTGGCTGGCTGTGGGTGGCAGTGCCACCTCCCCGTGCCCTCCTGGCTGGCTGTGGGTGGCAGTGCCACCTCCCCGTGCCCTCCTGGCTGGCTGTGGGTGGCAGTGCCACCTCCCCCAGCCCCTCCTGGCTGGCTGTGGGTGGCAGTGCCACCTCCCCGTGCCCTCCTGGCTGGCTTTGGGTGGCAGTGCCACCTCCCCCAGCCCCTCCTGGCTGGCTGTGGGTGGCAGTGCCACCTCCCCCTGCCCTCCTGGCTGGCTTTGGCTGCCAGTGCCACCTCCCCCAGCCCCTCCTGGCTGGCTCTGGGTGGCAGTGCCACCTCCCCGTGCCCTCCTGGCTGGCTCTGGCTATCAGTGCCACCTCCCCGTGCCCTCCTGGCTGGCTCTGGCTATCAGTGCCACCTCCCCGTGCCCCTCCTGCCTGGCTCGGGCCCGAGGCGTGGCCGTGCTGGCGCAGCGCGGCGTTGAGCACCAGGCACGAGTAGGTGACGCTGGGCTCCACCAGCACGCGCAGGACGCTGCGCACCTCGAAGAGCCCCTCCTCGTTGGCCACCTGCCACGTGGTGACGTTGGCAGTCAGGTTGGCACCCCGGCTGTCCTGCCACAGCACGCTGGCCTCGGGACCCGTGATGGTGACCGAGGCGTGGCCGTGCTGGCGCAGCGCGGCGTTGAGCACCAGGCACGAGTAGGTGACGCTGGGCTCCACCAGCACGCGCAGGACGCTGCGCACCTCGAAGAGCCCCTCCTCGTTGGCCACCTGCCACGTGGTGACGTTGGCAGTCAGGTTGGCACCCCGGCTGTCCTGCCACAGCACGCTGGCCTCGGGGTAGCCGCGGGACGCGTGGCACGTCACCTCGGCCACGTCGCCCGGCTTCAGGTCCTTGCTGGGCTCCAGGTGCACGCTGGGCTTGGAGTAGGGAGCTGTGGGGACAGGGGGACAGCAGGGAGGGCTGGCATCAGGAGCGGGGCCAGCCGGGATTGGCACCTTGCAGGGCCATCCTCAGCTGAGGGTCACTGCTGGCACAGGTGCCCTGCAGCCAGGAGCCTCAGCAGGGCACGGATTGCACTGCCCAGGGAACATTTTGGGGAGGTGCTGTGGGGGACAAGGGGGGACAGGAGAGAGGATTGGCATCAGGAGCGGGGCGAGCCGGAATTGGCATCTTGCAGCTGCCAGGATTGGGATCTTGCAGTGCCAAACCCATCCTCAGCTGAGGGTCACTGCTGGCACAGGTGCCCTGCAGCCAGGAGCCTCAGCAGGGCACGGATCACACTGCCCAGGGAACATTTTGGGGACAAGGGGGAAAAGTGGAGTGAGGATTGGGATGGGGAGCTGGGCCAGCCAGGATTGGGATGAGCTCTTTCAGATGCCAAACCCATCCTCAGCAGAGGGTCCCCACTGGCCGAGGCGGCCCCTCTGTGTCACTCCCCTGGGAACATTTTGGGACATGCTGCGGGGGACGAGTGAGGATTGGGATGGGGAGCTGGGCCAGCCCTGGGATGGGGCTAAACCCATCCTCGGCTGAGGGTCACTGCTGGCACAGGTGCCCCTCAGCCAGGAGCCTCAGCAGGGCACGGATCACGCTGCCCAGGGAACATTTTGGGGACAAATAGGGTGCCAGAGTGAGGGTTGGGAGGGGGTGCTTGGCCAGCCAGGATTGGGATGGACTCTTTCAGCTGCCAAACCCATCCTCAGATGAGGGTCACTCCTGGCTGAGGTGGCCCCTTTCTGTCACTCCCCTGAGAATATTTTGGGGAGGTGCTGTGGGGGACAAGAAGAGGACCAGAGTGAGGATTGGGATGGGGAGCTGGGCCATCACCCTGGGGAACTCTGGATTGAGATGGACTGGGATGAACCCTTCCAGCTGCTAAACCCATCCTCAGGTGGCCCAGGTGGCCCCTCAGCCAGGAGCCTCACAGGGCACGGATCACACTGCCCAGGGAACATTTTGGGGACAATTAGGGTGCCAGAGTGAGGATTGGGATGGTGAGGTGGCCCCTCAGCTGAGTCTCAGCAAGGCACATATCACAATGCCCAGGGAATATTTTGAGGAGGTGCTGTAGGAGACAAGGAGGGACAGAAGTGAGGACTGGGATGGGGAGCTGGGCCAGCCAGCCCTGGGACAGGCTCTTCCAGCTGCCAAACCCATCCTCAGCTGAGGGTCACTCCTGGCTGAGGTGGCCCCTTTCTGTCACTCCCCTGGGAACATTTTGGGGAGGTGCTGCAGGTGACAAGAGGGGAACCGGAGTAAGGATTGGGAGGGGAGCTGGGCCATCACTCCAGGGAACTGGAGTGAGGATTGAGATGGACTGTGATGAACTCTTCCAGCTGCTAAACCCATCCTCAGCTGGCCCAGGTGGCCCCTCAGCCAGGAGCCTCACAGGGCACAGATCACACTGCCCAGGGAACATTTTGGGGACAAGGGGGGGACTGATGTGAGGATGGGGATGGGGAGCTGGGCCAGCCAGGATTGGGATGGGCTCTTCCAGCTGCCAAACCCATCCTCAGCCAGGAGCCTCACAGGGCACAGACCACACCACCGCAGGAACACCTTGGGGTGGCACAGCCGCCACCCCGGTGCCCCGCACTCCTCACCCGCCACCTGCAGCGCCACGGCGGCGCTGTCGTAGTCGCGCACGCGCACGAAGCAGGTGAAGCTGCCCTCGTCGGCGATGCGCACGCGGCGCAGCAGCAGGGACACGTTGCCCCGGGCCAGCTGGTCGTAGAAGAGCGCCGTGCGGTTGGCGTAGCCGCGGCCCTGGTCCTGCAGCTGGTCGTGGCCCCCCGAGAAGCCGTGCACCAGGCGCTTGGTGTCCGTCAGCTGCCAGATGAGGCTCAGCTCGGCCACGCTGAAGTTGGCGTCGGGAGAGAAGGAGCACAGCAGGGTGGCGTCGTGGCCAAACAGGGCCACCACGGGCTCCTCGGGCACCTGGATCTCCATGGCACCTGCAGGAGGGGACGGGGACGTGCTGTGACTGCTGCAGGAGAATATCCTGGGTTCTGCACCTGGATGGCGCCGGAGAAAATTGAGGGATGCCCGTGGAGGGCACATGTGCACAAATGGCATCTCAAGATTGTCACTGGACATGCCACCCTGATGGAAGGGGGACAGTCCCACATACAGCTGGGGCACCTTTGGCTGCCAGGAGCAGCCAAATCTGGATAACATCCAAGAAAACGAAGGGATGCCCATGGAAGGGACACGTGGGCAGGTGGCATCTCAGGATTGTCACTGGACATGCCACCCTGATGGAAGGGGGACAATCCCAGGCAAATCAGCGGCACCTTCAGCTGCCAGGAGCACCAAACCTGGGTAACATCCAAGAAAACCAAGGGATGCCCATGGAAGGGACACATGGGCAGGTGGCATCTCAGGATTGTCACTGGACATGCCACCCTGCTGGAAGGGGGAAATCCAGCACCAAACTGGGGCACCTTTGGCTGCCACGGGCACCCTAATGTGGAAAACACCCAAGCAATGCCCATGGGAGAAACAGGGACAGGTGACATCCCAGCACTGTCCCTGCCATGCCACCCTGATGGAACGGGGAAATTCCCACATCCAGCACCAAACTGGGGCACCTTCGGCTGCCAGGAGCACCCAAATCTGGCTAACATCCAACAAAACCAAGGGATGCCCATTAAAGGGACACATGGGCAGGGGGCATCTCAGGAGTGTCCCCAGCCATGCCACCCTGATGGAAGGGGGACAGTCCCACAAACTGGGGCACCTTCGGCTGCTAGGAGCACCCAAATCTGGGTAACATCCAAGCAATGCCCATGGGAGGGACACATGGGCAGGTGGCATCTCAGGAGTGTCCCCAGCCATGCCACCCTGATGGAAGGGGGACAGTCCCGCATCCAGCACCAAACTGGGGCACCTTCAGCTGCCAGGAGCTGCCACGGGCACCCAAATGTGGATAACACCCAAGCAGCCCATGTTAGGGACAATGGGCAGGTGGCATCTCAGGACTGTCACTGGACATGCCACCCTGATGGAAGGGGGACAATCCCAGGCAAATCAGCGGCACCTTCAGCTGCCAGGAGCACCAAACCTGGGTAACATCCAAGAAAACCAAGGGATGCCCATGGAAGGGACACATGGGCAGGTGGCATCCCAGGATTGTCACTGGACGTGCCACCCTGCTGGAAGGGGGACAGTCCCACATCCAGCACCAAAGTGGGCACCTTCAGCTGCCAGGAGCTGCCACGGGCACCCAAACCTGCTCTGGGACACGGAGCCCGGATTGTCCCCATGGGGACAGGACGGCTGGTGGCAGCGGTGGGGACACGGTCCCCAGGAGGAGCCAGCCCTGGCCAGGCTGGCAGCGCTAGGTGGCACCAGTGCTCCAGCACAGTGCCAGCTGGGGTGGCACAGTGCAATTCCAGCTCATCCCAGTGCCATGCAATGATTCCAGCCCCGTCCCAGTGCCCTGGCACAATTCCAGCCCCTTCCCAGTGCCATGCAATGATTCCAGCCCCTTCCCAGTGCCCTGGCACAATTCCAGCTCATCCCAGTGCCATGCAATGATTCCAGCCCCTTCCCAGTGCCATGCAATGATTCCAGCCCCTTCCCAGTGCCATGCAATGATTCCAGCCCCTTCCCAGTGCCACGGCACGATTCCAGCCATTCCCAGTGCCATGGCACAATTCCAGCCCCTTCCCAGTGCCATGCAATGATTCCAGCCCCATCCCAGTGCCCTGGCACAATTCCAGCCCCATCCCATGACCAACACATCCCATGAGGTGATGAGGGCAGGGATGGCACAGGGAATTTTTGGGAAGATTTCGTGCTGGGAGGATGAGGAGGGTGGGCAGGAGCCGTGCCAGGCCTGGACACGGGCAGGGAGAGGGCACCGGGCTCACACCAGCCTGGCTCCGGGCACATCCCAAACACCCCGGCTCCATCTGGATAACAATAAACACCGGGAGCCAGCCCGGCTGGAGCTGCGCTGGCACTGCCAGCGGGATCCACCAGGACTGAGGGATCCCGGGGCGGGAAGGAGCTGTCCCTGCCCGGAGCTGTCCCTGCCAGGAGCTGTCCCTGCCCGGAGGTGCCAGCCGAGGTGCCACCCCACGCAGCGCCAGCCCAGGAGACGCCAGCTCGGGGCACGGCTCTGTCGGGCGCGGGTGGCACCGGGGACATCTCCTGCGGCGCTGCCACCAGCCCCACTCACCTGCCAGGCCGAGTGCCAGGATGAGCAGCGGGAAGGGCATCCTTGGCACGGGGAGAGCCGGGGTGAGGGAGCAGGAATCCTGGCAGGAGGAGCCTCTGGGAATCCTGAGCTGGGGGAAAACACAAGGAAAGGCTGGGATGGTGCTGGGAGGGAGGGACAGAGCGAGGGAAGGGAACAGGCCAGGGATGCCACGGCATTCCCAGGGATCCCACGGCATTCCCAGGGATCCCACGGCATTCCCAGGGATCCCACGGCATTCCCAGGGATCCCACGGCATTCCCAGGGATCCCACGGCATTCCCAGGGATCCCACGGCATTCCCAGGGATCCCACGGCATTCCCAGGGATCCCACGGCATTCCCAGGGATCCCACGGCATTCCCAGGGATCCCACGGCATTCCCAGGGATCCCACGGCATTCCCAGGGATCCCACGGCATTCCCAGGGATCCCACGGCATTCCCAGGGATCCCACGGCATTCCCAGGGATCCCACGGCATTCCCAGGGATCCCACGGCATTCCCAGGGATCCCACGGCATTCCCAGGGATCCCACGGCATTCCCAGGGATCCCACGGCATTCCCAGGGATCCCACGGCATTCCCAGGGATCCCACGGCATTCCCAGGGATCCCACGGCATTCCCAGGGATCCCACGGCATTCCCAGGGATCCCACGGCATTCCCAGGGATCCCACGGCATTCCCAGGGATCCCACGGCATTCCCAGGGATCCCACGGCATTCCCAGGGATCCCACGGCATTCCCAGGGATCCCACGGCATTCCCAGGGATCCCACGGCATTCCCAGGGATCCCACGGCATTCCCAGGGATCCCACGGCATTCCCAGGGATCCCACGGCATTCCCAGGGATCCCACGGCATTCCCAGGGATCCCACGGCATTCCCAGGGATCCCACGGCATTCCCAGGGATCCCACGGCATTCCCAGGGATCCCACGGCATTCCCAGGGATCCCACGGCATTCCCAGGGATCCCACGGCATTCCCAGGGATCCCACGGCATTCCCAGGGATCCCACGGCATTCCCAGGGATCCCACGGCATTCCCAGGGATCCCACGGCATTCCCAGGGATCCCACGGCATTCCCAGGGATCCCACGGCATTCCCAGGGATCCCACGGCATTCCCAGGGATCCCACGGCATTCCCAGGGATCCCACGGCATTCCCAGGGATCCCACGGCATTCCCAGGGATCCCACGGCATTCCCAGGGATCCCACGGCATTCCCAGGGATCCCACGGCATTCCCAGGGATCCCACGGCATTCCCAGGGATCCCACGGCATTCCCAGGGATCCCACGGCATTCCCAGGGATCCCACGGCATTCCCAGGGATCCCACGGCATTCCCAGGGATCCCACGGCATTCCCAGGGATCCCACGGCATTCCCAGGGATCCCACGGCATTCCCAGGGATCCCACGGCATTCCCAGGGATCCCACGGCATTCCCAGGGATCCCACGGCATTCCCAGGGATCCCACGGCATTCCCAGGGATCCCACACCAGGCATTCCCAGGGATCCCATGGCATTCCCAGGGATCCCACAGCATTCCCAGGGATCCCACACCAGGCATTCCCAGGGATCCCACAACATTCCAGGGATCCCACACCAGGCATTCCCGGGGATCCCACACCAGCCATTCCTGGGGATCCCACACCAGCCATTCCCAGGGATCCCATGGCAGCCATTCCCAGGGATCCTGGGGATCCCACTGCAGCCATTCCCAGGGATCCTATGGCAGCTGTTCCCACGGATCCCACACCAGCCATTCCCAGGGATCCCACAGCATTCCCAGGGATCCCACTGCAGCCATTCCCAGGGATCCCACTGCATCCATTCCCAGGGATCCCACTGCAGCCATTCCCAGGGATCCCACTGCATCCATTCCCAGGGATCCCACTGCAGCCATTCCCACATTCCCAGGGATCCCACTGCAGCCATTCCCAGGGATCCCACAGCATTCCCAGGGATCCCACGGCATTCCCAGGGATCCCACTGCAGCCATTCCCAGGGATCCCACTGCAGCCATTCCCAGGGATCCCACTGCAGCCATTCCCAGGGATCCTGGGGATCCCACACCAGCCATCCCTGGATAGCACCACCCATCAGACACCACGGGAAGGGATTCAGCTCCAGCCTGGCACGACCCCAGGGACTGCCGCATTCCCAGCACTGATGGAGCTGGTGGCAGCAGCTGTGGCTTGTGAGCCCTTCCCTTCCCTTCCCTTCCCTTCCCTTCCCTTCCCTTCCCTTCCCTTCCCTT